TATCTCATACTCCACATTATAGTATTAGGTATATGTTTATAATATCTTGATAATTTTAATTTCCTAGTCAGTTTATCTGTATTTTTAGTTTTTGAGGATAATGTCTTTTGACGAGGTGGTTATTCTCACTTTGGAAACTTGTCCTTTGTTATATTTTCATGTACAAAATAAAGGCACTTTATTATTATTATTATTATCATCATTCAGCTGTTTTCATCATAAATGAACATAAAACTATCCAAAAAGAAGATGTTAAAGTTTATTGGGATACTATTCTACGGCTCCAGTTTCAAGCTCAAATATCAAAATTGGGGTCTAGAACACATTAGGTCTCTAAAAACGGACAATTTTTCTATGTTCAAATTTGCATTGGAGCAATTATTAGGATATAATGAAGAAAAAAAAATAAGGATGAGTTCATTTTTTTGATAAACAATATATTATTTAAATATACAGGGTGTCCTAAAAAGATACCGACAAACTTTAAAGGGTAGTTAGGGACATCAAAACAAAAAACAAGCATTTTTGTTTATATAAACATATGTCCGCAAATGAGCCATTTGGGCTGTAGAGCAAAAACATTTTTTGGTACTTTTATTCTTCGCAATAATTAAATCACTGTTTACTTAATAATTTTGCTTATTTATTAACAAATAAATTATGGTTTACAATAATTGTTCAAAATGTTGACCATTTACTTCAATGCAAAGATTGCACCGTCAGGTCATTAATAGACAACTACTAAGTTAATTAAGGAAACTAATCACAAATTAAGTAGGAATTTTCAAAATGTCAGTAAAAAACCCTTTCCATAAACATTAAATATTGTAAATATTTACCAAGGTGGTATGCTGATTTTGCCATAAAATAGAAATCTATTAAAGTAAACAAAATAAATGAACAAAATAATAATAATTGTAAAAAATCACTAGTCATTAATGCCTTATATCCTCTCGCTTCTCAACCTTTGACACAGATCAATAAATAATATCTATTCTTATCAGCTTAATATCGTTATACCTATCAATGCACAATCAACAAAGAAAAAAATTAAATTAAAAAAATCATAACTTGATAAATATTCAAGGATCCATATTTTTTTTCTCTTGAAATTGCTTTGTTTATCAGTAATAATCAAAATCATATTGAAAATCAAAGGAACCTAAAGTGATGTATCACCCAAAATTGGTTTCGAAGATGCCAAAACTATAGCAAACATAACAGAAATACTATCAAATCAAACCGATCGAAACCGAACTTGAGCCTGACGTAGCTAAAACAGATCAAGCTTAACAAGTACTTTCTGCACATACAGCTGCTGAAGAAACTGAAACTAAAACTTTGGAAGCATTATAGGACAACTAACAGCCCAATGACACATTATATAAATCATTTATTGCTGATGCAGGTTTCCAAGAGTTAAATATAGCAGCAAGCGTAACTGAAGTTTTAACTCAACAAAGTGAAGCTAAACACAATATAGAAGCTCAAAAAGGAGTAGTGGCAACTCCACAAGTTACTGATCAAAAAGTAGTTGAAAAACAAAATGTTGGAATTTATGAAACTTTAGGTGACTTAATGGAAGACAGGGTTCCTTCAAGCACAGTGGCAAACATTAATTTAGAAGAAGTCAATAAAGCACTTATTGTTAAATAAGTTATAACAAGTGAAGTTGAATCAGACTTTAAGCCTGACTTATCTGAGCTTGATCAAGCTGCAACATCAGTAATAGAACAAATAGTAACTCAACAAGAAGAAGCTAAGCTTTATGCAGCTTTAGCACAGTTAATTGAAAATAAGTCTCCTATAGATGCCTCAGCAAATAATATTAATATCACTTTCTTATTTTTTCTATATTCGTCTCCCAATAATTATTATAAAATAGACAAAATCGCCAACCTCGCTCCCCAACCCACGATTTTGTCTATTTTATTAATATCACCAATCAACGATATCACTGAAACAAATAAAGCAGCGAATATTACAGAAGTTTTAACATGAGTTAATGAAGAATTATTGAAAGAGCGAAAGCTGTAGAGGATACTGGTCAAAGTGGCTTTAACTGAATTAAGGCCTGTTGAAGAAGAACAAGTAAAAGGTTATGAAACTTTAGGTAAATATATTGAAAAGCATGAGTCTACTGAAGATAGAGTGGACCTGAATATTGAAAAGTCCAGTAAAATTGCTTCAGTAACCAAAGTGACTTTGTCACGAATGGAGCAAGATTCAAAACCGGATATTCCTGAAGAGGGCATGGCTGTTGCGTCGTTAAATATTTTAATATTTAAAAATGAGATGATTTTAAAGTTTCATCTCAACTCGAAAGAAAACGATTTGATTTACAAGATGGATCGGAACTTGGATGCTTGAGTTCCAGTTACTTTTAAAATTAAGTAGGAAAATTAATGCTGAAAATGTTCTCCAAGATGATTGGGATTTGATGAAGTTTTTCCAAATAAATTTTGTGGTACCTATGTGCCTGATTTTGGTGTGGCTTCACGATTACTTCGATTTTTTGGGATTTCTTGCTCCCTTGATTAAAAAAAGTTGTGTTTGACTATAGTTCCAGTGTATTTGCTCTACACTTTGTTGCATTTGGTGGTCACTGCTTCCTTAATTTCCCTGTCCTGTGATACTTCATTCTCTTTGTTACTAGTCCAACAATCACTTGGATCAATTAATATCAAGTTATGGGAGGCCTTATACAGGGTGTCCGACCTTAGATAAACTGACACATTTTGCAGGTAAATATCTCGAGAACGAGGAAAGATATTGTTCGTCGATTTTTAACTGATACTTGCGGTATGAGGAGCGAGGGGGTGTTTCATATACCAAAAACAGGTGTGATGTCAGGTAACCATGGGAGTTCTAATGTAGGGAGCCACCAGCTCACATTCCGTCCGAGTATCGGATTAAAATCGACGAACAATAATGAGATGCGGTTTGTTCTGGGGGAATAAGAGTTTTTTAAAGTTTTTTTTCACACTATTGCCAAATCCTAAAATTTGCTGAAATTTCGTTTAACAGACACTGAATATTTTGTCACTGTTTTGTTTTCAATTATCTTGAAATCAGATCGTAAAAATTCCACTTTATTAAAGAAAGTACCGTCAGCTGGCCAAAAAAATTGAAAATACTTCAAGCAATCAGTGGGAATTCAAACTTTCAGGATTTATTGAGTAGAATTCAGGGTCTTCTTATCAAACAAAACAAACCGCGAATTGATCTGAGGCTCAGACAGGGAATTATGATTTTTTCCTCACTTAGATGCACTAAACTAATGTGAAATTTCTATTTAATCATCTTTGGAAGCTTCTGGAAAATACTTCAAGCAATCAGATGGATTCCAATTTTTCGGGATTAACTGAGTAGGGTCTTTTTATCAAATAAAACAAACTGCGAATGGATCTCAGGCTCGTAAATCTTTTCTCACTTGGATGAAAAAAAAAAAAACGTATAAAATTTCTAATAAATCACCTTTGGCTGCTTCTGAAAAATACTTCAAGCGATTAGAGTGACTTCAAACTTTCAGGATTTATTAAGTAGGGTCTTCTGACCAAACAGAGCAAATCGCAAATAGATTTCAGGCTCAGGAATGGAATTATGAATTTTTTATCACTTAGATCGTTGATTAGATGCAAAAAAATCAAGTCAAAATTCTATTAAATCATCTTTGGATGCTTCTGAAAGATACTTCAAGCAACCGCAGGGACTTTAAGTTTTCAGGATTCATTGAGTAGGTATGGTCTTCTCACCAAACAGAACAAACCGGAAATGGATCTCAGGCTCAGAAATGGAATTATGATTTTCTTATCACTTAGATGCAAAAAAATCATGTTAAATTTTTATTAAATCACCTTTGGGCGTTTTTGAAAAATACTTCAAGCAATCAGAGAGATTTCAAACTTTCAGGATTTATTCAGTAGGGTCTTATTATCAAAGAAAACAAACTGCGAGTGGATCTCGTGCTCAGAAATTAAATTATGAATTTTTTCTCACTTAGATGCAAAAAAATCATGTAAAATTTCTATTAAATCATCTTTGGAAGCTTCTGAAAAATACTTCATGCAATCAGAGGGATTTTAAATTTTCAGGATTTATTGAGTAGGGTCTTATCACCAAACAGAACAAACCACCAATGAATCTCAGGCTCAGAATTGGAATTATTATTTTTTTCTCACTTAGATTCAAAAAAATCGATAATTAATTTGTGTTTGTTACTGTTATTAACTAATTAAAACCTTGACAACAAAGTGCAATTTATACGATACAATTTCAAGATATTAAGAAGAAAATATACATTTTTGTAAATTAGAAAAATCAAACTTTCTGACGATGACAAAATATACAGAGTATTTCATTAAAAATAAGGCAGTATTTTTATTTCAAAAAATAGCATGCCTGTGAAAGCAAATTTCATTAAATTTTAGGATTCGGAAATACTGTGGAAAAGAAACTTAAAAAAATCCTTATTCTCCCAGAACAAACCGCATTTCGTTATCTTTTCTCGTTTTAGAGATATTTACCTGCAAAAATGTGTCAGTTAATCTAACACTGTATATTATTATGCAGCAACCAATCGAGGCCGTCTGTTGATGAAAATGATTTTATTCATCCTTAAAACGCATAGCATTGAACCAAGATTGAACTTCAAAAACGGATACAATAAAATATAGGAAGTCACGCCCAAAATACCTACCAATTTGATGTGTAACCCAGCATCTGATTTATTCAAAAGATTTATTCTACTAGTACAATACAAGGCGTTGGTTTCAGCTTAAAATAAATGTAATTATGCAAATTGACTTTCTCATGGTACAAAGCAAACTTTTGAATTTTATAATTCATTTATTATTATTCAGTCCTGATTTTTTTAAATTTTATAACAATCTGCTATTTAGCTGGAATAAAATGATTTCCAAAACAGGGTAATTAAAACACCAAATTAAAATATTTCAATAATTTATTTTATAGATTACAGCTAAAATGATAATAATGATTCAAGCTATATCTAAAACTATAATATTTTCTTTGGTTTTTCTTACTGAATCATAACAAAACAATAAAACATAAAAAAAATTACCACATAACGGCAAAATTCTATATACATACAAAGAGATATTTAACATCAATAATTAGATTTAGCTACCAAATAAAATTAATTTGCGGTAATTATTGTCTATGCTCGAAATTTGGACATACAAATAATTTTTAAAAAATTGCGATATGTTTGTAATACATCCACAGTGTTTGACAGAATTTTACTCATAGATAATAATGAATAATAGCCCACTTACAGGCTAAATGTAGATTTTTAGGTAGGTCCACCTTATACAATAGTTTAATCTATTAGAGAAATTACATATAATTATGTACCCACTTAAATTTTCACATTTTTGCTATCAATGAGAATGTTTGACTACCTATAATAGTTCACGGTTTACATATCGTACCCTACCTACGACAAAAATAAATAGAATGTATTTTAGGCAAAAATACCAAATTAATTCACATTTTTCAGTTTGGTAAAAGAACATTTATGGAACAATTATTATTAGGTACATAGAAATAGAACACAGGGACATTGTTACACTGCAGAATATTTTTTTTGTTAACAAAATGTATTTCATATACTTTAATCAAACATTATTAACAAGTGTATTATAGAAAAGTAGGTTCACTCTAAAGAACTATAATTAAGCTATCTATAATAACTGTAGAATTTGTTTATAAATGTACAAGAATGTTTTCACCAAATCAAAGATTGTGCAAACTTAACGAAATTATTCCAAAAATAATATTATTGCACAAAAAAAAAAATATATTACAATTAAGCGCAACAAATTATGACTAAATCTATATACAGAGATTCACAAATTAACACCCATAGATAAACCTAATATCTAGTTGCCTCTATATGTACAACAAGTTTTATTATCAAGATACACAAATTTATACAACTTTTTTTTTTATTCAGGAACATTTTTAATAAGCGTGGAACGTTAGTATGTAATTTACAAGAATTTATAATATAATATAATTAGAGATGAAACGGACATCCGGAAACTATCCGGTATCCGGCTTAAATTTAATATCCGGTCGGATAGTAACTCAATATCCGGCCGGATACCGGATATTCATAAACTTCGACATAATTCCCTAAAATCAAATTAACAGAATGCTGAGTTTTTTGAAAGGATGTACAGAATTGATGGGTTTGGAATCCAAAATAAATAGAAACTACTTTTCTGAAGTTCAAAAAAGTAGTTTCTTTTTATTTTGGATTCCAAACCCATTAATTAATTGTCTACAAAAAAATAACAAAATGGCTTATAATTAATAATTAACCGCTGACACCACAAACTGCCCGAATCGATCTGATCACGTTCGCTGCGCCTGTGCGATGAGAAGTTGGGCCGGATATCCGGCCTCGCAACTCGCCGGATATCCGGTATCCGGCCAAATAACTATCCGTTTCATCTTTAATAATAATTAAAAAATAATGATAATTTTCAAGTATCTTCATTAAATGATTATTGAAGTAATAAAAAAAGGTTTTTTTTTTGTAAAAATAAGGTTAGAGCTCTATATGATTTTGTTTTTAGTATACTGTTGGCTATCTCAGAGGTTCGAGACTTGCACTTAATATGAAGGAAACTGCTTGTTGCGGTCGATTGATCCCACCCATTAGTTGACTTGATGTAACATGGAGCTGAGAAACTAGTGCAGATCTGGAAAAATCATTTCGATTTGAAATTATTTTTATGACTTATATAGTTTAGTTCGCCCGTAATAAGAAATAAGTTTTTTTTTCATGATTGGGCCAATTACCGGCAAACTAAACTAAATATCTAGTCCTAAGAATACAAATTACCATTTAACATTTTAAAAATTTAATGTAACTTTTTTACATGCATTAGTAGTAGTGATAAATATAGATTATAACGGCTAATATTTATTATTATTAAAATACCTGTGTTAATAATTGTTGCTTGACAAAATTCACAAATGAGAATCATAAAAGTTAAAACAGTAGCTACCTGCTTTGTATGATGAAACCAGGTGCATCTTCCTAGAAACAATAGATTAGAAAAGTTTTTAGGACAGCAGCACTTTATTGATAGCACGTAGCTGAGTTTAAGGCAAATAAAATTCTAACAAGTTTCAAGAAACTTGGAATACGTTATACCTATGCGCACAATATTTAACTACCTAAGTCAGTTGGATATCAACCCATTTTGCTAAAATTATTCAGTAGATTGAATTTAATACCCAGACAAAATCTATTGTTAAATTGTACGGGTACTGCAACACAATAGAACGTCAATAACTGTAACCGCCTAAGTTATAGAGGTGGCAATTACATAGACAAACAGTACACGAATTTGTTGTTAACAAATATATGTAAAAAGGACGGTTGTTGGCACATTTACCACAATGGCGATAATGAAATTACAAACCATGAATTGTTGATAGTACCTACTTTTGTAAAAAAAATCAATCAAACCCTTAATTGAAAAAGTTTTAGGATCATGTTCCAGAAATCCAATTCAAATAGCAATATCAATAAAACCAGAGACATAAAGTGGTACTTAATTGAACTCACATAGTCAATGACCCTATCAAGAGCCGTAAACCTGCCGGAATATGAATCTTCGAGTATGAAATGAATATTTTATTGAATTAGCAGGCGTGCGTCATGGGGGTCAACGATGTAGGTCACTATTTATGGATTTTCGTGAGAAATTACTATCATTGGGGCCAGTAGCGCGCAAAACCGCCATTACTTTTTGCCATATCATTAAAAACCCACAGTCCACATATTCATGAAATTTCATGCATTCATTATTTACAAAATGAACACTCACGTCATTCAGGGAAAGTAAGTGCGAATATACGACCATTGAACCTTCTACATAGCAAGGACATAGCAGTGAATTCTGGCTACGAGAAGGCGAAATTATCCAGGAAACAGTTCCTGATAGTTTGAGGAAATTATAGTCCGGCATGAGCTTTTCAAAATTGGTTTCCTGTGTGCCTTTTTGGGATGCAAGCAAGCGGTTTTTTTTTTAAACTAAAATTTGTATTGTAAAGAATAACCAAGTCCAGTCGGAACGCCAACTTATGTGCCAGAGGCGTACAGTACGGGAAAATGAGATCCACAGAGTTTTTTAGCGGTTTTAATAGTTTTTTATATTACTAGTACGGTATGAGCTTTATTACAGTAACGAGTGGGGAATATTGCCACGACGAGGTCGTAGACCGAGTAGTGGTAACCACACGAGTGTTGTAATGAGCCTTACCGTACGTGTGATATACAACATTTTATCTACGACCTGCACAATAAGCGACTATTGTCGTTTGTCTACTATAAATAACTATTTTACTCGATTGTGTAGTTATATTAAAAATATTGACCTCTTACCGCATTAGTGCGATAATGAACGCGTCATGATTCACTACCGCACTAGTGCGGTAATAGCACTTATTGTGCAGATGATGAAGGCATTCTATTGCGCCGTTACAATTTGTATTATTTTATTTACATGTCTGACATAAAATATACAAAATCATGATTACTGTTAACATTTTACATAATTTTGGAAATTATATGCGTACGCCTATGAGCGGCAGGAAAAGCGTAGACAAGCATTGCGCGCGACGATGGAACTATGCGATGCGAAACTGCGATGTTTGGTGCAAAATATTGTTGAGCAAAGCAATTGTTAACAAAATGTATCACCATTTAAAAGAGACATTTCATCACAACTAGTTTCGGATCTAGAAGAAGCAGAAAACAAAGCTTTATATTACATGCTATCCATTCATCAATACAAAATATGTGAACACTATATACATATTTTCTTCCGATACTGACGTTTTTGTTTTGGCAAAAAACAAATCCTTAGCTCCGTTTACGAAAAGAAGGAGGCTGTATCTGCGATTACCACTCTAAACTGCATACAGTTATATCTCTCTCGGATGAAATTAAGTATTTAGGAGTTACCCTCGACCGCAAACTTACATGGAACGACTATCTGAACAAAACAATCACGAGCTATGGTGGCCACTTGTACATGCCGCAAATCCATGGGAAAAACATGGGGAATAAGACCAAAAATGGTATATTGGATTTATCAAATGGTTGTCAGACCCATTGGCACATACGCCCCGTTGGTATGATTGACAAAGACTGCAAATTACTGCAGAGGACAGTCTACGTAAAGTACAAAAGCTGATCTGTCTGGAAATAACAGTGGCTATGTCGACCTGCCCCACCGCAGCCCAGACAAAAAGATTTGAACCTGGTGATCTGAATCGCCACAAGCTCGAGTGCCAAAGTAAACCAACAGATTTTATGATAACTGATAGCATCACTGGATTTTGACATTCCATATGAAGTGGTTGTGAAGGGTGTTTTTTTTAGAGGTTTGTTTTTCTACCTGGCAACACTGATAATAGTGGCAGTAAATTTGACATGTAACAGCTCATTTACGCTTATTATGTCTTATTACCATTTCATCGTGAATAGACTTACGCCAGAACAACGCCAGAAAAAAATTCCAAATTTCAGAGGGTAACCAACTTCTCACTTCTCACAAAGGTAAAAAGCTGTATTTTGTCATGTCTTTCACATTCGCTAAGCTTACTCTTTGGAAGTCAATTCTTCGAACGTTGATACAGTTCAGTTATATTATCCAAAATCTGAGACAAATGTCTTGCACACAACATATTCCAAGGATGGAAGATCACAAAAGTTAATTTTGTGAACCATCAGTAACTACCTGGAAAAAATTTCCAGGAAAAGTTGAAGTCAATCTGCTTGCATTTGATTTGAGAATGGATGAACACCTTATATGTGCGAAAATGCCTGTCATTTTCATTGGTAGGCCAAATTACACTCCGCCAACTTGAATTAGAGCTCCTGGATTAACGTTGATATCCAAAAAGAAAATTTTATTTATGCCCATCGCTCTGCCACTGTCCGTGACCCAACATGAATTTTTCAGTGCAAGTTCCACATGGCCAAAAAGAGAAGGATCGCATGTTTTAAAAGGCAACAAGTGAGATGGCGATGGCGTGCAATATAAAGTGGATTTTAATTGAAATGTAGGTTAAAAGTATGCGACTGCACTTATGAATTCGCGTGCTTTTAATTACTTATATCTCTGATAAAGTGTGTATCTGTGTTACACATTCCATAAAATTGCGAAGGATGAACTAGATTATAGGCTGTGTATCAAAATATCAGAAAAAAAAATCCACTTATATCAATAAAAATATACATGCAAATATTTACCTACCAGTATCATCAAAAAACCATTACCAATTCTCATGATCTCCCATAGATATGGCTATACGGTTTTCAATTTACATGAACCGTAATTTTAATGATGGATAAAAAAAAAATAGAAATACGCAATAAAAGAACCATTAGCAATAAATAATGGATCGTTTTATACCAATCATTTAATGGAAAAGTTTAAAACTACTGTTCGGTCACGATTAGGATCAATGAACAGTGAAAAGAGGACATTGAATTTTTAGATTCAGCTGCTGAATTTGATGAATTTTATGCTTGACTTGAAATTGTTCAGAAAAAAAAGATTACAGATTTTTCAATAATTGAAAATAGGTATTTATACAATCGAAGGAAAAAGACGTTCTAATATTACTGAGTATTGACTCTTCACTTTCTGCAGCAAATTATTTTTCCACAATTTCTTTTTTATGTTCTTCAATGGATTTTATGTATAGCTACATCTTAATAATTTTCTTTTGTTCTCAACTATTTTTGGTGTACAATTTTTTTCTCCTCAATATTGTCTAATATTCAATAATAATTGTTTCATGGACTATCTGGTTTAGGTTCCTTTTCATGTGAAAAAAATTCTGGAAACTGATTTTTCAATTCTTTTTTTACTTTAAATTTCCGTAGTTTCTGGAGAAATTTCAACAGTAATAGGTTGAACTGGGGAACTGGAACACCTCAGGGCGATGACAGGAAAAGCTTTCAATAAAGCTAAAAACACCAAACTACCTGAGGATTGGAACCTTTATAGGTACCAAATCAACCAGTATAAAAAAGTCATACGACAAAAACAAAGATATGCCTGGAGGATATACTGCAACGAAATAGAAAACTATACTATACGGAAACGGCGAGAATTCAGAAAGCTCTTAATAAAGACCAATTTCGGTAAATTGGTATCCTGCGCAAGGAGGATGGCACCTTCACTTCCAACCTTCAAGAAAGCACAGAGTTACTACTAGCAACCCAATTTTCTGACCATCGTTGTGGAGAATCAGACGCAGGTAACATACATATCCTCTGTGGCTGATTGGCAACTAGCGAATCAGATAAAATCCAAGGAAAAAAAAGGTTGGGCAATCTCAGGCTTCTTCGCCTTCAAAGCACCAGGACCTGACGGCATCTATCCAGCCCTACTTCAGTGGGGTCTAAATCGACTCTTGCCGCATACCTGGTAGGGTATATACCCAAGTCTTGGAGAGAAGTTAAAGTGGTGTTCCTACCCAAATCAGGTAGGATGGAAACCAGGGAGGATGGACTAAACCACTCCCAAGGCATATCGCCCCATAAGCCTCTCATCATTTTCTCTAAAAACAATTTGAGAGGCTATGCGAAAGCTACATAAGGAATGAAGTGTTGTCAACCAATTCACTCCACCCTAATCAACATGCATACACCCCCGGGAGATCAACGGACATAGCCCTCCACCTGGTTTCTGAGCGAGTGGAAAAATCGCTGGACATCAGAGAGTCCTCCCTCGGGGTTTTCATCGACACCCGAGAAGCCTTTGACGACACCACCCTTCAAAAAATTAACCACTTGCTAACAGAAAGGAATACTCCGGAAACTGTAACCGGATTAATATTCAATATGCTTTCCAAAAGAATTGTACAGATAAGTTTGCAGGATGTTAACATTAAAGGAATGGTCACAAGAGGCTGCCTGCAGGGAGACGTGCTCACCTCTACTGTGGAACATGAATCTGGACAGCCTCATTGTCCGCCTAAACAATGACAACCACTACACAATAGCTTACGCAGATGACGTAGTCATCTTGCATAGAGGTAAATTCAAGAACTCGCTTCGCGAACGCATGCAACATGCTCTTCGAATTATGGAAAGATGGTGCACGGAATACACTCTGTCCATCAACCCTAAAAAGACTGAAATGGTTCTATTCACAAGAAAGAGGAAACTGGCACTACCGACAGCACCCAGACTCTTAAACTGGGAGTGACACTCGATGGCAAACTAACATGGAACTTTCATATTGCTAAGAGAATACATAAAGCATATATCGCCTATGATCAGTGTAGACGTACTATCGGTAAGACCTGGGGGTTCTCCCCTAAGGTATTTATGTGGATCTATACAACCATCATCAGGCTTATGCTTAGCTATGGGGTTATTGTCTGGAGACATAGCGCCGAACAGACTACTATAAGCTGAAAACTGGACCACGTTCAAAGAATGACATGCATCAACATAACTGGTGGAATGAAAACTACACCAACTAGGATATTGGAAGTAATTCTACGTTTGACGCCCCTGGATATTTATGTCACGGAGATCGTTTCAACCAGAATGATGCACTTCCGCACTGTTGAAATAGAACCAAGTGCAGAAGTCGGCTTGCAGAGAGCCCGCATATGGCGTGAGGCAACGAACTGACTTCAATTGTTGGAGGCCAGAGCAGACTCTGCAACACCATGTTTCCTTTTCAAAAAGCACTACGCAATCAACACGTAAGGCATTGGAAACACCACCATGATGGTGCGGATGCGGAGTATACTCCAAATCTCTCAAACTGAACCTAGCTAAAGCCCTTGGCTCCATGCCTAATGTACTCCAAATGGAAATTACTGGCATAACCAACGCGGCCGAACAAATATTGAGCAACAATATCTCTGAAGGATCGTGCACATTTACACGGACTGCAGCCAAGCAGTATTAGCGCTATCTAGACCACGACTCACGTCAGAACTAGTACAACATTGCCACCGTACACTCACCAAAGCGCCGATCAACAATATGGTGGTAGTCAGGTGGATCAAAGGACATGACCACAGCAAAGGCAATGGGGCTGCCGATGCTCTAGCTAGAAGGGCCGTCAGGCTACAGCCTTCTGGATCGGAGCCCTTCGTAGGGCTGACCATGTCGGCGGCCAGAGATATGATGAAAAACGGTCCCATACCCTTTTCAAAAAGCGCTGGGACGATACAATTAGCTGCAACTTATCCAAGGAACTGCTAAGCTGTCGTTGACCAGGAAAAGGCTACGCCTAATAACAGACATTTTGACTGGCCACTGTCAGTTAAACAATCATTTGTTAAGGTTGCAGCTCGGTACCATATCCTTGTGTTATGGGCTTGTAATCAAGAAGACGAGACGATAGAGCACATTCTCAGTGATTGCACTGCTCTTTCGCCAATACGCAGAGCCAGATTAGGCCAATCGGATACCCATCGCTAGAAGAGATCAGAGGCACCACCCTCGGCCACGTCATCGCCTAGGTACGTGGAATCGCTAGGCTGGGTGACGAGAAAAGGATGACCTGTCCTCTTGTGGAGGCATACCAATGGGCCTAATGTGGCCTCTAGGTGCTGTGGCATACCATACCACCCTCCCATACTTACAGATACAGATAGATAGGTTGAGATTTTTTGTGAAATAATTCCTCAGGATCTTCTCCAATAATTTATAGAAGTATGTGTTTTCTAAATCTATTCCTCCTCAACAGTGAATAGGCCAATTTGGGCTTTTCTTGAAAAGAAATTTTGGCTCTCCGTATTGAAAAGCTTTCGATCGAGAGCAAAAAAATGGATAGAACTATCAAATTATATAGAAATAAAACTTAAAGATTTACATGAAAGACCCACACCGCCAAAGCCAAGAATATAAGAATAGCGAAAGTAGTTAAGCTTTGTTTTATTGTTTTTGAGGAAGCTCGACCAGATGATGAGTCCTTTTAGGACTTGGAACAATGCTGAGACTTTGAAAGACTGATCATCTCAGTCAGTTCTGAGGTGAAGGAAATAATGTCTTTGGACAATATAATTTGTAAGAGAAATATTATGAGCATATTAATGGTTAGGTCAAGAATATGGCATTGGAACATTTGGGGAAAATTGAGCCTCTTGAATTTGTACTTATTATTATGTAATGAAAAAATATTAAAGAAATATGTTTAAAAAAATTAATATTTTATGTCTATATTACGCTTCATAGGTGACTTAGTTTAGGGTAGGGTAGTAGCTCATTAGTACCTACCCTTTTCTTCTTTCAGTGTGTTCCCATATATCTGTATGGAAAAGATATGGGAGCAATAAGAAGCAGTACATCCATCCAAAGGCAGTGTACTAGCTGTAACAAAAAACTGTAAACCGACGATACAAAAATTAATTTTACCAGGATAGCAATTTAAATATTGTTGAAACAAATAGGTAGTTGAAATTGTAACTGAACAAAAATCCGACTCTCTATAGCTTTTGTGTAAATATTTGCAAATTAATCATCCTCGACCTAAGAACAGAGACAAAATAAGTAAATTGAATCAACAAAGTATCTCGGTTGAGTCGTGCCACTTCAAAACACGTTTTAAGTACAGTTTAAAAATTAATCAATCAGTCAAGGACCGAAACAAGCTTGTTATGTCGTTCCCAATTTGCTAAATAAGGGAAGGTCGGCGACAGAAACGATACCAGGGCGTGGGTTTCGAGTAACTTTTTAAACTTAGAAACTTTCTGTTGTTCGATATTTCAATCAGATACTGGGGCTCTAAATACACATATTTGTGTAGATTCAAGTTCCAGAAGCTTCTCAATTGAAATTCATGAAATGCTAATTCTATGCCACATTTTCCTATAGACACGCATGCATCAGATAAGACTCTCAAATCTATGCTTTTAGTTCTTTTTTTAAAGGCAAAAATTTAAATAGAGATACAAGGACTCGATAATGGAATTACTTGTGCGTGTTTGTGGGAATTTAGAATTTTATGAACGTTTTGTTTCAGCTTGTGTTTTTCATTGAATCCTAAAACCCACTATGCATGTAAAAATGCTTATTTCTGCTTGTTCGGAATCAAACTTAAGCTTATGTAATGCAAATTGGCTAAGATATAAAATCACAGTCGAAATCTGAAGACAACTTTCTAGTAACTTTTCCGTCACAACTTCGATCTCTTCTGCTGTTATTCAACTCCCGAAACGCGGAACAATTTACCGACGTCCGACCGCAACTTTCAGTGTCGGCTCTGTATTGATTTTGGCAAGGTCGATACTCCTCTGGACAACGTTGCCAGTTAGTTTGAATATAAACTTAGAGTAAATATAAGTTGATTAAGTGTTTAAGTACCCTCATCAAAGGTAACCAACCCTATTTGGTTTGTTCTATAACAAGTACGAAGTTTTAATGATAGCATCAATAGTTAGGAGCAACCAAGGGAACTGCAGTTTCAAAACTGACTATCTAGTTTAGTTTGAGATTTATTTCCAGGACAAACCTAAATATGAGGATATAAATAGGTAGGTATACTTAGGAATGAATTTGTTTTTTTGAGCCGGCCTACAAGTGAATAGGTACCTACCTAGTTAATAAAGGTTGTTATAAATGATGACATATTTCAAACAACGCAATAATCTTATGTTTCTGTATTGTAAATAGAAAAAGAAGTGAATATGATTTGAGAAATAATTTAAATATATTCCAGGAATATTTGAGTTTGGCAACACGGTTTTGGGAGGCTCTTAAGAAAATATTATGCCTAAAACTTTGCCTAGGCCAACCATTATGCTCGGTTGTGTGTCAAATGGAAGAAATGCGTTAAACGAGGAGCAACGTTGCCGAATTTACCCGACTCCGAATTTAACCTAGATTTTCTGTTTTAAATTTAGTTACATTACACCTAAGAAATCAATACGCAGGATGGATGGGAATTGGGATGGACGAGGAAGAAGAAAATTCTGTTTTTACGCCCGGAATCGTCAGTAGATACCGAAGAATTAATTGATGCAAAATCTGACATTCATTTTTATTACAATTGCAAAATTTTCTCTTTATGATAATTGCCCTACAGTGTGGAAATAAGGCAAAGCCCATTTATCATTGGATTATAATAGCCAACCCCTTTCTGTGTGTTCTTACAGAATCTTCTTAGCTCTCATTCAAACCGGTACTTATTTGCATTTGAATATCGTCATCATCGTCCGGAACAGGAAAAACGCGCTTCTTATACAAGACCAAAAAAGTTTTAAATAGAATCTCCGCTTTTGCCAGCTGAACTTCGTGACCCTACCCAGAGTTGCCAATAACGACGAACTATTTGTGAAAATTTTCTGGGCAATGAAATTGAAAAACAAAAATCAAGCAAGTACCTAAACACTTATTAGGTCATATAAATACATAGGTATACGTATTACCAATACCAAGCAACTAATATATTACACATATTAAAAGCCGTTATGTTTATCTTTGTGATCGTTTTGCTGCTAATGGATTTCTTTCACTCGCACTTAGTATGATCAATTCCCTAAATATTGTATAAGCCAAGTCAATGAACCTAAGCTTAAGAAAGTGTCAGCAAAAATCTACTCACCTGAATAATTTCGTTGACTAGAAAATAAATTTTTATTATTTTAAAAAATAAGCTTCCAAATCGAACCCTGTGAAAGACGGCTGCTGTTCCAGGCTATTGCTCCTGGAGAACTGCTGTTGATTGTGCCTCCAAAAGTTGCCTTTCGGAGGTTGAAGCCTATGTTATTCGCCCATTGCTGCTAGGGAGGGTAGATTCCAGGGGTTGTAAGTTTTGTTTTGGTGGCTGAAACAAACAAATAAATAGATACATAATCGAAAAACCTGTTGGCTGGTTATTGCGTGATTAAAACCAATATTGGTTGGGTATCGTGTGTAAAGCTATTTATTCATGACACATGTTGATATTTTCAACGTATATGATGTGATATAAAATATCAAATATCATATCGATCAACAAAAAGGTATCGCCAACACGGATTATTTTGCTTGGAAAATGATAAATGTCGGACAGAAATGACTGAAAATTGAAGAGTGCGGATGCCATAAAAAAAAAGAAAAAAAAAAGAATGATGCAGAGGCAAAAAAAAGCTGCCGACGACGTGTGTTTTAATAATTATTGGCATCATTAGGGTGTAACCTGATGAGAAACGAGAAGTCGTGAAAGACTTTCACAGTCTAGTCAATTGGGAATAAATGAATTTACCATATTGTGAAATAAGCTATAGATTAGTAAATGTTTATAAAAAAAGTTGATCAAAGAGTTATCTAATAAGAAAAATTTCATCGCAACTATTTCGAGGCATTTTATAAATCATCTTCAGATTCATATAATATGTATGTACAGGGTGTTTCCTCATATTTTGACCCCTACTACCTACAGCTTCAGCTATAGCTAATATACGAGGTGGAAAAAAACTTCAAATATGAAAGTTGTACGATTTTATCGGCAGTAAATTTTCGCGCTTCTAAAACAAACAAACTCAAATTGCAAAATTATAATTGAAGAACAAATCATTTTTTTTTTAATGGAACACCCTGTATATTTTTAGCTCTAACGGAAGTCCCTTTTCTCTTGTTTCCAAATATACCATAATATGTTGATATTAATTTGGTTCAGCTATTTTTGTGCTATTTAAGTTCAAAATTGCATTAAGTAAGCCTCACCATTAGGTCGGTTAGGTCAGCCCTCTCCCACTGAAAATTTTTAGATGAAAAGTTATCTATAATTTTGCTTCCATTCTGCTCTATTTTGCTCCATAAATTTTAAATTTTGCTCCATTACGCTTTAGAGACTATATCGATTTTAAGGTGGGGGGGCTAAGTTAATGGTTACTCCCACCACTTTTATTCTATTTCTGACTGTGGATTCTTATTCTATTAATCTTGCTCCATTTTGCCGTCTGAGAGATTTTGCTCCACAACCGTTCCGTAGTGACAGGGGTTTGGAAAATAATAATCAGCCCCCACCCACTTTTTTTTTCCTATCTGACTGTGGATTCTTATACTAATAATTTTGCTCCATTATACTCTGTTATTGAAAGCTTTGCTCCAAAACCGTTCCGTAGTTACAGAGGTTTAAAAAATATCAATCAGCCCTTCCCCTACCACTTTTTTTCCCTATCTGACTGTGGATTCTTATACTAATAAATTTGCTCCATTATGCTCCGTTGTTGAAAAATTTTGCTCCAAAACCGTTCCGTAGTTACAGAGGTTTAAAAAATATCAATCAGCCCTTCCCCTACCACTTTTTTTCCCTATCTGACTGTAGATTCATAAGACTACTAGTTTTGCTCCATTTTGCTCCGTTATTGAAATATTTTACTCCACAACTATTTTGAAGTAAAATCTACAGTCTTACAAATAAAAAAAGACAAGGAATAGAAAGACCGAAGAAAAAGAAATTCAGTGAAGAATATATTTTGGTATTCATAAAAGAAATCACTTACGGTATAGGTATTACTATACTATGGTTGGGTTCGGTAATTGCATCTTCTGCGAGCAAAATGAGCAAAATTTGACAGATGTCACGTGATTCAACACGTGAAAAAAGATAAGTGATCACGTGACATGCCTCAAAATTTCCTCTTTTTGCTCGCAGATGCAATAATTGCAATTACTGATGGCCAGCTCTGATTGATATTGTTTAAACAATCTAAGGTTTAAACCTCTGTAACTATACGGAACGATTGTGAAGCAAAATTTTTCGATAACGGAGCAAAATGGAGCAAAATTAGTAGAATAAGAATCCACAGTCAGGAATGGAAAAAAGTGGTGGACGGGCTACCATTAACTTAGCCCCCCCACCATAAAATTGATATAGTCTCTAAAGCGTAATGGAGCAAAATTTAAAATTTATGGAGCAAAATGGTGCAAAATAAGAGCAAAATTATAGGTAACCTTCCATCTTAAAATTTTTAGTGGGGGGGAGGGCTAACTTAAAATCTACCTCTCACCATTGATACAAGAAACCGGGAACAGGCCTAATTTAGAGTAATTTCAATTCATTTTTAAACTTAAATAGCGTAAAAACAGCTGAACCAAATATCAACATATATGTTATACAGTGTTCTCCATAATGTTCGCTACATATGGGGAAATTTTTTATTTGTAGAATATGGAACTTTTTCTTATGTGCGATTGATCCTGCATGTCCGATAACCTAAACGTACATTTTGACATCGAACACGTGATCACTGTTGTGGCGGCAAATTTGAAAATTTGCTTAGATATGGAAACGCGAAAAGTAGAATCAGATGGCAAAATATGTGTGAAAAAAAGTGATTAGAACTATGCCAAGGATCTCTTATCAAATAATATTATACAGTTTTTATCATTGAAATAGTCCAAGTACCTCAATATTTAATGTGTATTGGTAAAACAAACTTAAATTCTTTATTGGAATCGGAATCATTTCTAGAGAATTGAATAAAAATATTCGAATAGGACATGAAACTTTTCTGTAGCAATACCCTGTATCTTGACAGTTAAGTAACGTGTTTTAGACCTGTATTGAAAAATTTAATTAAAAATCTCAATAATGGTTCTTTCCAATTATTGTTGTATCAACAGTTAATTATTGGAAATCTCACAAACTGTCAACATACAGGGTATTGCTACAGAAAAGTTTCATCTGCTAGTCGAATATTTTTATTTAATTCTGCAGGATTGATTCCAATGAAGAATTTGAATTTTTTTGACCAATACAAATCAAATATTGAGGTAATTGGACTATTTCAATAATAAAAACTGTATAATATAATTTGATAAGAGATCCATGGCGTAAAATCCTATTTTTATGTTGCTTTTGCTCCAAATTTTGCAGAAAACCCTGAAACATCGTTCTAATCACTTTTTTAAAATAACTTTTTTCGATATTTTGCCATCTAACCCTACTTTTCGCATTTCCATATCTAAATTTTCGGATTTGCCGCCACAACAGTGATCACGTGATCGATGTCAAAATGTGCTTTCAGGTTATCGGACATTCGGACATGTAGGATCGATCGCGCATTAAAAAAAAATCCATGTTCTACAGATAAAAAAATTCCCATATGTAGCGAACATTATGGGGGACACTGAATTTGGAAACAGGAGAAGAAGGACTTCCATTAGAGCTAAAAATATACAGGGTGTTCCATTAAAAAAAAGTAATGTGGTCTTCTATTATAATTTAGCCATTTAAATTTGCTTGTTTTAGAAGCGCCAAAATATACTACCGATAAAACCGTACAACTTTCATATTTAAAGTTTTTTTCCACCTCGTATAGCTGAAGCTATAGGTAGGTGTCAAAATATGAGGAAACACCCTGTACATGAGTTGCCAAGCAAATCATTTGAAGTATGAAGCATCCGCATTGCTCGACCCACATTTATTTTCCATTTGGTATGAAATTGTATAAGCAAATTGAGGGCGGTCGGACGGAGCATCCGTATCCTTTGGTCAGCAATTAATTTGATGAAGATGGAATCATAACTAGAAATAAACCAAAGATTCAGATTCCTGGATGAAAAGTTTGTCGGCCTCATGGTCAGCAATAGTTATATTGTATGCCTTTTTGAACTTCACCATCTCAATCAATGAATAAAATTCACTTAGTAGGTTAAGAACAACGGACAGGAAAGCTCATTGAGAAAAATATCCACTGAATCCAAAGAAGAAAATAATCCTGATCTGCAAAAGTCCCCAGAGATCCGCAAAACGAAGGTACGTGGGACTGTCCAGAATTCCACATCGATTATTCGGTTAGCCTCAAGGATTCTGCCAACTATCGACACACGCAAATTGGAGACACCAAGATAATAACAACCTTTAATGTCAAATCCATGGCATGAGATGAAAAAAGTATAGGACTTGAAAAAAGATTTTTAAAAATCAACACCGTTTCCAATAAAAATTATAATTAATCAGATCTACCTCAACTGGCAATCACGAAGATCTGGAAATTTTCCTTTAGGGGCGATAGACGAAGGCAGAGCAACAAAACTAAAAAATGATAATATTAGTATCATTTATTATGAGTATCTTCAATGCGAAAGTAAGTCGCAAGGAGGAGTTCCAATACAAAATTGGTAACTTCGGATACGGATCCAGAAAGCAAAACTACATAATCTGAATGCAGTTTCTTTAACAAAAACCCCAATAGTCCAGTCACGTTGTGGTTTCACCTAAAGTCCGTCGATTTTAATCTGATACTCGGAAGGAATGTGAGCTGGTGGTACCCTACATTAGAACCCCAATGGTCACCTGACGGCATACCTGTTTTTGCCATATACTTCACCCCTTCGCTCCTCATACGGAAAGTGTCAGATAAAAATCGACGAACAATACCAATCTTGAGGTAGTTGTCCCAAAAGTCACAATAAATGTGGCCAAGGATTCTTTAGTTATTGCAGGTCAAATGTCACAGAAATCGTTTTTTTGCAATAATCTCGGTTCCTATTGCTCCAACGATATAAACACCTATTACAAAAGCTAGATATAATAAAATTCCTAAGTACTTTTGTTTGAAACTTTTCTCTAAAAAATGAACCGTTCTTGAGATAGATCGCGTAGAGTGGTAAGCCCTATGCTCCAGATTTTGACCTATAAATTAAAGGAACCTAACGGTGAATTTTTGCATACACGTTGTTGTTATGGGTCTAAATAATTGGTGAAAGTTTCCCATCGATTCGATGATTATTTGGGCCGTTACGGAAGGTCAAAGGTCAGAAATGCGTTTATCAATATCTGGAACACAGTTAACTTTTTTTAAAATTTCTTCTTAAAAAAGTAATAGATCATTA